ATGCCCCTAACAAAATGGTATGTTTGTTACACAAGAAATATTTTATGTCTGTCAAGAGCTAATAAATCCGACTAACAGGGAAGTTTAGAGATAATTATATTTCCACGCGTTAAGTCTTTATTTTCTTCCTTTCCATTCCATTTGATATTCATGTTACACTGTTACTCGTGAATGAATAGACTGATAAGGGAGAAAACCAGTAATGGTAATTACTATTATACACTCTGGGGGTTATCTCGCTTCTCTTCGAATTCTTCTTATTCATCTACATATTCGGCCGTGGGTATCGACAAAGGGTATATATAAACATACATATAGATAATTCCGCCAATATTTTAGCTCCATGCCAGGACATAGACCTATTTGATGTTAACATGAGTCGATAAAATTAATTTATAATAGGCCATGTATGTTAATAACTATCGCCTCACAATGATGTCATCTAATAATACTCCAATATGGACATTCAAAGTTATGTGATAAACATCAAAATGCCGCTAATTAATGCTTTCAAAATAACTAAAGTTTGTTCTTATAGTATAGTATATACGACAATTGATTAACATGTAATCAAGATAAATGTTAATGTATACCATATGTTGGTCCAATGGATAACCTGTATAATTTCCCTGAAAAATGTATTTAACAACGTAAGTCAAAATTTAAAAAAAAAAAAACTCTTAATATATAAAGAAAATCTAAATTCGTTTTAAAAAGTCTTTACTACATGACCATCTTATGATATATTTAGCAGTATATACGTACAATGTTGCCCTGTCGTATATTGTGAAATTAGGCCTTTTTTAATTTTTATACCAAAACTTAATAGATTGATTATAATCTCGGGTGAGTAATTGAATACTCAATATCCTTCGTAATATACATGTTTCTTGTGTTTGTTTTGGTAAAGGTTTAGTATGTTCGTAGATTTATTTGTAAACACCCCTTTTAGGGGTCAACAGAGCTAAAAATAGAAAAACTTTTAAACATCTTCTACTACAGAACTAATTGGTGGATACTAGTAATCACCAAACTTTGTCTGTAGCATTCTTGGGTAGTCTTTTATCAAATTTGCTCATATTAATTTGATTGGCCCCTTTTAGGGGTCTCTAGGACTAAAAATAGAAAAACCTTTAGACATCTTCTTCTACAGAACTAATGGATGGATGATCACCAAACTTTGTCTGTAGCATTCTTGGGTAGTCTTTTATCAAATTTGCTCATATTAATTTGATTGGCCCCTTTTAGGGGTCTCTAGGACTAAAAATAGAAAAACCTTTAGACATCTTCTTCTACAGAACTAATGGATGGATGATCACCAAACTTTGTCTGTAGCATTCTTGAGTAGTCTTTTATCAAGTTTGCTCATATTAATTTGATTGGCCCCTTTTAGGGGCCGCTAAAGCTAAAAATAGAAATACCTTTAAACATCTATATGTAGAGAACTAATGGATGGATGATCACTAAACTTTGTCGGGTAGTCTTTTTATCAAATTTGCTCATATTAATTTGATTGGCCCAGGTCATGGCATTTCTTCAAATTATTGTTTAAACTTATTCAATGCTCAAATTAAATATCAGAAAATATTGACAATGGATAATTTCCAACTCTGAAAAGCAGTTGTTTCTGGTGAGCGACTCAGAGCCATCATGGCCCTCTTGTTTTGTTATCGTTAACTTTAACTTCACCTTCACGGGGGAGGAAGTGTTACACGAAGGATGGAGTTCTTATGATAACTTGTTTGGAGTTCTTATGATAACTGTCACGGAGTTCCTGGAAAACGTTACGGATTTCTGTGGAAAACTTTTCTATATACTTGGAGAACTCATGTAAAAAATGATCATTTTTACTTTTAAATGGGGAGTTTGAGGTGCTAAATTAAACTTTGATAATTAAGCTTGCTCTACATATTGTATAATATTTCAGAAAAACCTTTTAGTCCATTTTTCATCGCCTTTTTAAAAAAAAAATCTGGTAGTTTTGAGTAAAATGTCCAAATTACTTCTCATTCGTACATATTGACCTTTTCATTTGTGATCTTCTTCGTTGCTATACATAAATATACATAATTGTAAACATAAAGCCCAAGCTAATAAATTTATACCCGATTTTTCAAATGTCACGAAGTTCTTGTGATAACTCAAAATATGTCCTGGAGTTCTTATGATAACTTTTGTTACTGCCAGTGTGTTTCTTGTGCTTAATTAAGGCACATTTAAGCGTAGTTTATTAGTCAATAAGTGTGTAAGTCATTAGGAAGCATAGTACGCGTATCATTTGCACACACATTTGGTTATATAACGTTATTTTGAGCGTATTTCAGTTCAAGAGATATTTTTCTTACCACCGTTTCGTGTGGGTTTTTTGTGTTTCTTTGTTTTTTTTCTTCATTTTATTGGAATGACTGAAAACATACTTGATGAAGAGCATTTACTTACAGGATAAAATACGCTTTGCATTTAATATTTAAGCATGATTTCTTCATGTATACATTATTCCTGGCAGTTTTAGAGAACATTAAGTAATTATGCTATCGGTTTGCCGAAACAAATTACATGTAAATGGTTTGCAGCACAATAGGAAGTAGTACGTAGTCTACTACCTTTATCTAAATTTAAAGAGGGGGTGGCATCTTTAGGTATTCAATGGATATCTTAATTTCTAAAAGGTATCAATTTTGTCATAGAAACGTATAAAGTTCTATGAAAATGATATGACAATAGAAAGTAAGTTTTTTGTGTTTGTTTTGGGTTTTACGTCACATCGACACAGTATAGGTCATATCGCGACGTTCCAGCTTTACTGGCGGAGGAAGACCTCAGGTGCCCTTCCGTGCATTATTTCAGGCACGAACGGGTACCTGAGTAGAACCACCGACGTTCCGTAAGCTAGCTGGATAGCTTCCTCACATTAAAGAATCCAAAGTCCCTGTCGGGATTCGAACCCACAGCGGTAAGAAAGTAAGTCTTTAATAATATATGTGAGTCACCATAAGGTTCATGCCGTTTCTTTCTCTATTATATCCAATGAAGCATCATTTGACGTTCAGAAATCTCAATATTGCGAAAAATTATTGCATACATTTTTCTTATCAAAGTTGGGAGTCCTTCGGGCATTCCCCCTAAATAATCCTAGTTGTGGAAACTTTTTCTGTAATTGACAACAAAAATATATTGTCGAACTTCTTTCGCTCTCACCCGTAGGGCACGTGCAAATATGTTGAAGAGATCGATAGTAATCGGTTGATTTTTTATGTTTAAAAAGATCATACATTTCGGGTGCATGGGTGTGAAGGGTATCCCAGATATTTACTTGTTGTTTATGGTATAAATTGATACAAATTACTTAGCCGCTTCTTGAGGACAGCCCAACTATATATTGTCTGCTTAAGAAAGGCGATTGCTTAAACATGTAACTGAGAAAAAAGTTAAATTTTTTTAACATTTTTTGCCTGGAGGGTTAAGCCATGTTTCTGCTGAATACAGGTGACCGCTGGTTCAGGTTTTCCTGAAGATAGCCCATAATTCACATGTTTATCCTTTGTAGACTGTTTCATGTTCAATCTTTTCTTAAAAAATTTTGGGTTTTCTGACAGCCGAATCCTGAAAAAAATGACAGTTACCTAAAATTTACGTGCACACCAAGCTATATACATGTACCGCATATTAACTTTACTTTGTCATCATAATAACGATATGCATGTCTATTATGCGACTTATATATTTCTCTGTAGTTGCTGTAAAATTCAGCGTTAACATTTCAAAGGAAACTTATGACATAAAACTTTATATACTCGTACACAGAAACATTTAGTGCATTCGTTCGGTTTTATAATGTAAATATGAATTCGCACAAATTTTTATTAGAAAAATATCTTTTTAACTAAAACACGCTCAAAACCAACATTATATATTACCTATTTTGTGTTAGGCTGGGAGTATAAAGTTTCTTGATAATTTAAACACTTATTAAATAATAAAAATACGCGTAAACGGTACCGTAATTAAGCACAAGAAACACACTGGCAGTAACAAAAGTTATTCATAAGAACTCCAGGACATATTTTGGGTTATCACAAGAACTCCGTGACATTTGAAAAAGCGGGTATAAATTTATTAGCCTGGGCTTTATGTTTACAACTTTCCATTATCATTAGGTAATTAAGTATAGCAACGAAGGAGATCACAAATGAAAAGGTCAGTATGTACGAATGAGCAAATAATTTGGAAATTTTATTCAAAAACTACCAGATTTTTTTAAAAAGGCGATGAAAAATGGACTAAAAGGTTTTTCTGAAACATAATATAATACGTAGGGCAAGCTTAATTATCAAAGTTTAATTTAGCACCTCAAACTCCCCATTTAATGGTAAAAATGATCATTTTTTACGTGAGTTCTCAAAGTATATAGAAAAGTTTTCCACAGAAATCCGTAACGTTTTCCAGGAACTCCGTGACAGTTATCATAAGAACTCCAAACAAGTTATCATAAGAACTCCATCCTTCGTGTAACACTTCCTCCCCCGTGACCTTTAAAAGTAAAGAAACAACAGCTATAGTTAGTCAGTCAGTCGGTCGGTCGGTTGTTTCGCTAAGTCCTGGGGCTTAAAATACTAGTTATTAATTAGATCTAATTAATAGTCCGATCTTTCGATCGACCTGCGGCATCAATGATTTTGTTATAGAATTAAGCATTTTTCTTCTTTCTTGTTGTTTCATAACCATTTACCGTTTGTACATACATTTCATTTACCATTCCCATATCTAAAATAGCTAGAGTTTTTGGTACATGTATCGTGTAGATCTATAATTATATACAGATCTAAAGTTCATGAAATCAAAGCTTCATTATGAAATATAACAAAATATTTTATGGCGTATTAGTATATAATATTTCATTCTTTTTAATTCATAAACCATAATTTATGCAGATTCGTGAACATCGTTCGGATGCCGTATCAGAAAATCCGCTAATAATAGAATTTCTAGCTGACGTGACGTATGTCTGGAGTCACGTGACCAAACTTGACTATCAACAAGCAAGATGGCGGCTGAAGTTAGGAATCCTAACCAGGAGCTGGTGAAAGATAATATATTTGAAATAGGACCACGTTATACCAATTTACAGTATGTTGGAGAGGGTGCTTATGGAATGGTTGTGTAAGTGCTGTTTGTAATAAGTTTTGTTTTAGATGCATTTTCACGCAATTTACCTAAAAATCAAGTGCCATATTTTGTCAGGATTTTTTCGTGCAAAACATGTGAGATAACCTACTTATTTTGTCTTTGTAATTTGAATAAACATTACGAAGACATGCAAATAAACTACTAGCCTGATCAAATTATGTACATTTATAAATGACTGCTAAGTATTTACGGTCTTTGAAATCTTTATGCAGCTTGAATTTCAAACAGGTTTAAATGTGGTGGGTGGGGTAATTCACTAATTCAGTAATTGTACTTTAAAATTTGCATGTTGTGCACATTTATATAACAATACTTGATACCTTTGTTACTATAAAGATAATGTATTATTCATGATGTAAAAATGTTGACGGATATTCATCTGTGACTCTAAAATGTTAGGGAGAAGTGACTACTCCTTCAGGTTCAACAGTAGTCCAACAGGTTTTAGACGTTACAGGCTTGTTATAGATTTTGTCAGTCAAGCCTGCTTTGCCCAAAAGCAAAAATATCTCAAAGAGACGTCATATTGATAGGACTAGTTCATCAGTTTCTTACTCTAACTCTGTTTTCCTACTGGCCGATGTAATACTGTATTAAAATCTAAACATTTGAAAGAAAACAAAAAATTAGTTTCCATCAGTGTCCTGATGAACTTTACCTTTGTGCAAGTTGCTACAGCACAGGTAATGCTTAAATGCTCTAATCCTTGTCCTTATGTATCATATTGAATGACACTTTCACATGCCACTGACTGACTGAGGCAGCTAACTGAGATTTAATGTATTTTAAAGAAAATTTGTGTAATATAAATTTTAAATGCACAGCTGTCATGAACTACAGGTAAAAATGTATAGCAGGCTTCCCGAAAGTTTAAAAAAGTGTCAGACATTAGGTCTGACAAACCATGAAAATCTGTCAGACCGAATACAATTAATCAAAATCAAATGAAATCTTGTGTTTGTATTTCTAAGACACTTAACAGTTTATTTTTTCGCCATAAAAATCGGCACAGTCCATACAGCGCATTTTTACCTCTTTCCTGTCATACACCAATGATTCACGGTCCTTCCATTTTTCATTAAATTTTCTCTCAGGTCTATTGTTTTCATATTTTTACTGCTGTTCTGCGCGCTCCTCTGACATAGATTTTCGTTTTTCCCCAGGTTTGGCACCTTTAGTGACGCCATTTTGTATACATGTGACTTGGATAAAAGCCGGACAGTCGGACCGATCCAGAATAAAAAATGGTCTGACCTAATCAAAATTTATTGGACATGTCCATCGGACCGACATATTTCGGGAAGTCTGGTATAGCAGATCATTTGGTCATTATAACAGAGCTTTGATTGATCAGTCGTTCTGCAGTTACTATAATGTGCCTGCAGTCCAAAGAAAATTTAGTATTTCAGTTCTATATATTAAATATTAAATTTGTGCTTCTTGTGCCCAGCAATCTTTTGATTACTAGTTCAACATGTTAACCATCTAGACGATGCTGTCTTATACAGATGAAGAAAAACTTCCTCAGTTCCTGTTATTCAGGGGTCTTTGTAGATTATAATGTAAATGATCTAAATGTGGATGAACATTACATAGGTGGTGAAAAATTCTCTGTAATAGATCTTTGATGATAAGCATTATACAGTTGGTGGTCACACTTACAGAACATGGGGTGTGAAGAAAAACCATTTTGTCCACACAAACCCCAAGGGTGGGATTTGTTTGGCTAAGTTTTGTCCTATAAATATTTTTTCTACGAAAGACATGGAAGCAGTTAGCCTGGGGAAATGTGATTTACGATCGAAGGCCCACCTAGTATACACCCAGAAAATTAGGGGTGTTATTTAAAGAGCTATAACTCATGCAACGACAAACTAGTTTCTAAAAATAGAAAAGGAATTTCCACAAAGTGGTCCGAAGCTCAACAAACAGTTACGGAGCCTTGCTTTCAAAACACCATTACCAATTAAAAACTAACACTCGTTGACAAAGTTTATTGCATAATGAGTGAATTCGATAAACAGGTTTGATTAGTTAAATTAGATAAAGTTTGTGAGCATCAGAGAATTGTGCTGGAGGCAATTTATAATAGTAAATGGCGTCAAATTTTCAACATTCATCATCTTCGCCTCGATTTCGATTTAGTCATGTATTTGTTGGTCACGTGCTAATCGGTCTATTAATAGGATTATCATTAGTCGATAATTACATGGGAAACCCCGCAGGTTTCCCCAGGCGTTGATACTATCAAAACCAGGGATGTTGTGTTATCTATGACGATCGAGTATGAAATAGCGCGCATGTTATGAATAAGCAAAAAATATCGACACCTGAATCCCAGGCTACGAAGCAGTCATTGAAAATTGTTATTTTTCCCAAAATAATTATTCAGAATAGCCAAGTAATAAATTAATGTATATTTTTACTAGTTTGAAAATTTCCAAATTTAGCTGGCACAAACATGCTCCTAAAAGGATGAGAGAGTAACAAGTGAGAGATAAAATAATTCTATAGTCTTAGAGGCAATGTATTCAGTCATACTCATATTCCCAATTGAAAATAGTATATTATTTTCCCAATCCGCTGGACAAAAATTCCCAAATAAAATTATTGAATAACAAAATCTAAAATATTTGAAATTATGGGCTTCTTTACTGTTATCATGTTTAAATGTTTGAAGATGCCATCCTAGCATGTGATTCTTTGCATCCATTTAATCACTGCAAAATTTAACTAATGCATTTTTTCCCCTCTTTGTAACAAAACACCACTGAAATTCCCAATTCCATCGGTATGGGTCATGTTCCCAAAATCCTAGGAAAAAACCTGTTATAAATGATATTCATTAAAAATACTGCTGAACTGTTTTAATTATAAGATATTTCTAAATTTTCAGTTCGGCTATTGACAATGTAACAAAGCAAAAAGTTGCTGTGAAAAAGATATCACCATTTGAACATCAAACCTACTGCCAGCGAACACTGAGAGAGATTAAGATTCTCACAAGATTCAAACATGAAAATGTAAGTTTATATTGTTATATTTATTATATTATAATAAGACATGTTAAACATTTGAAACAACAGCTTGTTTATGCCACCCTTGTAACGGTGGTACTTCTATGTACTATACTACACCATGTATTCAATATGCCAAATGATGAGTTACTTTCTATTTTTAATACATCTACAGATAAATAATGTTCAGGGCTCATCAAGATTGAGTTTGTACATATTTTCTGCATCATATCCCCAGATCAAAGGAAAATCAACTTTACCAAAACTGTATTATGTCACAAGCAATTATTGCACGGTGATGCTGTATGGAGGGTTGTAAACACCCATTTTCCATTTTTGTTTTGGAATAAACCAATTAGAATTGATAAAATCCATGACTAGGCCTGTTCTGAAAAGTATGCAAAAGACACTCTGATAGTTGAGAACTTTAGATGTTGATTAGTGAAACATGTTTGTTTACTAAATTATCATGCTATATACTAAGTATAGAATATCACGATTGCTGTAATTAGCTAGTAATGTTACTATTGTACAGTATATTAAATATATTTTGTTAGTAATAAAGCTATTAAAAATGTATGGATATTAAATTTTCATATCATTTTATAGTTATATATAAATGCTTTAAGAGATGATACAAGATGATTCATAAGAATTGTAATCATACTAATGTCATCTTATAAACTAAGGTCATTGTCATTTAGACCCAAGTGTTCCCAGTAACAATATTTGTACCATCAGCATTTTCAGCTGTTACACACTTACAGCTTCTATAAATTGTACAATATTACATTGATCACAAAATTGTATTGACATATATTTTAAAAATACATGTATAAAGTATTGTACTACTTAACTACTTTAATATTCTTGGCTTAATAAAAGCTCATGAACAAAATATGTCCTTTTAAATGCTATAATATAAAATATATATAGACAGAAAAATCACAAGTCGCAGCCAGGTCTCCAGTATGCTATACAGGGTTCTCGGGGACGCTTATTTCGGCGTCCTGGTACGCATGTTTATTACAGCTGGACGCAAATATTTCAGAGCAAGGATTCCGTGTACGCTTAATTTTGCCTGGGGACGCATTAATATTACCGATTGTTTACAACCATAAATACACAAATACGTCAGCGCGTGTCAGTCTATAGGTAGGCGGTCCTATGCACATGGACCAGTGAAGCGATTAGTCAATCAGCGATAAGGCTTTCGATCATTATCATGCGATAGAGATCAGACTAATGCATTATAACACGCACTTTACATGTAATTACCAGATATAACAATAGGTGATAATTCTTTTATCTTTGATCAACAGTTGATTGGAAATTAGCAAATTTTACCAACAAAAGAATTAACTATTGACTATTTACGCCGCAAGTTTTAAAACTGTTTTCTCACATTACAAATGAGTGTAATTTTGAATTATTGTCGAATACAATTATGTACACCCATTACTACTTAGTACATATATATTTATATAGTATATAAATATATATGTACTAAGTAGTAATGGGTGTACATAATAAGTCATTGTATTCAGCAATAAACCTTGGTTTCACATGGTTTCAAATTAGAACAATCATTTATTTTTACTTTTTTAGATTAATTATAGTAATATGGCATATTTCTTACAATCCATTTATTGTATATTTGTTTAGATCACGATTTTGCTGTCTGTTGTAATATGGCTACCAGATCAATAAAAGCTCATTTACTTTGATTAATGAAGAGTTGACTTAATTATTGAATAATAAATATTATATTTAATAACCTTTACCACCAACACTAGCATTTCAGTGTAAGTTGTACTTTGTACAAATGTATTTGTTCTTTTCAAATATACAAATTTGAAAAATGATTGTTTTAACATTGGTTTTTTGTGGAATCATATAAAATCATAAGGAAAATTAGCATGTACAATATAGGTGGCAACGATGCCATTGGAAGTCTGGAAAAATTTAACGCTTGAAAAATTCCCGTGAGTTTGGTTGAGTGTTTTGTTATGGTAGACATTGACTGTTTAGATGGCAGTGATTTGTCCCATGTTGATACTTGCTATTGATTTATCTATCCCCCCCCACTCTCCTCCCTCCTTGCGTTATAAAGCTTGCTCTGTCTCACTGGCAGGAAATTGCCTGAGATCTTATACCTTTTTGATTGTATTGTAAGGTCAGTGTATGACACTTGAAATAAATGTACAATAAGGAAAATAAATGTCAGAAATATTTGTAGAACTGTTCCGAGTTGTTCTGCCTTGTTGGGTGTGTATAATGTTCGAATGTCACATGCAGACATTCTGTTGTAATATTATTAATTTACCGATGCTGTGTGCATGGTCCCCACCATCCCTTGAGCGTACAAGAAAGTTATTTCTGTAAATATGTGATAATCAAGTGAGTTTATTTTGTTAAGTTTGCAATATTTCATGTACTTTGTAGGATTGATCATCTAATATTATCAGTTGCTATATAAGGACATAATTACCATGCAGAAGCTACAGATTCAGGGCACCTTTATTCTAAATATTTATAATGATAGATATACATGAAAAACAGAGACCAGGGCTTGCAAACTATGATTTTCGCTTACTTTTGCCCATTTTAATCTGAAGCATTTCTTTACTTGTCCATAATATTATAATATTTATATAGTAAATTTTTTAACTTTTCCACATGTCCGTACAGGCTGTTGGATAACCTGATGGCCACTGACATTTGATTTTTTTTCTCTGCTTTTTTTAACAAGGACTAAAAATAGCTTAAATTGTGATTGTTATTATATATAGTAACATTATAAAACATGTGCTAATTTATTAATATCTAGTGCTGAACAATTTTCCATCCTTTAATTCACTATTTGGGAATTATTTTGAGTAATGCTTACATACTAGTTATCAGATATTGTATAGGGGAACGGTTGTTATTTAGTGAATGTGTGAGAAACATTGGAATAGAGGAAAGGTTTTCATCAATGTAAAATACACTTCTAGTTACTTCAATTATACTGGTAACCATGAGCTCCTGCATATTGCAGCCCTATCTATAATCTTATAAATATGAACATATTTATTATCTTTTGGAACAACTTGTAGACTTAATGCCAGAATTGGCAATCAGATACATTCAGTGCTTAGAAAAGAAAAAAAACTAAAGTAGGAAACAAATGTATTTGCTAATCCCTATAAATATTTTCCTGATATAATATTACAACAGAATAAAGCTGTAGGTAAATAAATCCCCCTCCCCCCTCCATTCCCCTGCGGCTGAGTGGTTGCCTTTAAGGGTTGAGGTATCAAAATTGCAGCTGCTTGTTCGTAAGAGAACTAAATGGGGTCAATTTACTGGAGTCTATGTATCTTTTAGCTCCTGGTGAGGTGGTTTTGACCCCTAGTGTTGCTTCAAGTTTGTAACACCTGAGGTCAGCCAAAATCTTTCATGGCTTGGCGCCATACAACCTAAATTGTGTTGGTGCACCATAAAACCAAACAAAAAAGTTGTTTTAAAATTTAGACCGTTATAATTAGTGATATTATTAATCATTGTAAATTAAAATATAGAGATTGCTTTGGAATGTCTATGAAACTTAATTTAATTAAGTCCAACCAAATTATTAGGTTTACCTTAAAAATTATTTTTTTTGGTTGGTTGAATGATACAGTGTCTTCTCCTATTATATGCAGCACTCATAAAAATGCAACAGTTGCATAGAATTTTAAAAAATATTGAATTTCTCAATTGACTGTTGAATCTTGGTTTTTTTTTCTTTGAACTACTAGAGTCTGTATTCTCTACAGTTTGATATTCAGTGCTCTCCCTAGTGGGTGGAGCAGGTTCACATAAATAATTGAGCCACGTCATGACAAAACCAACATAATGGCTTTGAGACCAGCATGGATCCAGATCAGCCTGCCCATCCACGCAGTCTGTTCAGGATCCATGCTGTTCGCTATCAGTTTCTCTACTTGTAATAGAGTTTGTAGGCGAACAGCATGGATCCTGATCAGACTGTGCGGATGTGCAGGCTGGTCTGGATCCATGCTGGTCTCAAACGCACTATGTTGGTTTTGTTGTGACGCGGCTCAATTTTAAATTAAAAAAGTGTGATACAAACTATGCAAGCAGTAAACTTATAGAATGAAAATAGAATATAGTCCTTCTTTTCATTTACATTATGTTTTTGACTGTAATTTCTAGTTATAAAGTTTTAGAAGAATTGTTTTGTTTAAGTGTAGATATTCAATGGAATGTCACTGAATATTTAAAGCATTGGTGTTTTATGTAAAGCACTTATCTATGTAAGATTATATGTGTATGAATGGATAATTATTATGTTTTTATCCTTGACCCAAATGTTGATTTTATAAACATTGGCCTAAAAGGACAGATGATGATGTTATGTTATTAATAAATTATTGATGTACTATTGTCAATACCAACATGAATGTCTGTAATTTATTTCTTGTTTATCAACCTGTTATTTCTAGGCATTTTTTTATTATGGTCAAATATTACTATAAACCTGATTGTTATTGTTAATGATGGAAATCGGATGAAATTTGTCCCAATCGATCATCGGTTCAGTCGGATGGGACATAATCGATAACTTTCGAATAAAGTCGCGTTAAAAGAAATAGGAAAGTAACATTTCTTACCAAGGCACTTGATTATATTTAGTAACACGAACTTCATTTAGCACTTTTCAACACAGTTTTAACCTTATATAGTCATAATTTTACGAAATAGATTTTATTTTTTCAATGGTTGTCAAATAATACCATTCATATCACATTATATTACTATTGTTTACATCATTTATTGATCCTGTTCAACTCTAAGATGTCTCTGAGTGATTTTTTTGCGATCGGCGAGATGTTCCTAAAAGAAAATAACCGTCAGAATTTATTCCCTTTGATACTTTAAACATTTTCGACGACGTCGCGGAACAAATTTTTGTGAAACGATTATTGTCGTTTTACATAACAGTAACTGATTATCAGGGACTTGCGACAATCGGAACATCACTAGTTATTGTAAACTCTTTTACCCTGGTATTGTCAAATCCCAACTTGTTTGCTTACATTTCTTAATGTTTTACCAATGAAGTCCTCAACAGAATGAATCTGACTGTTGAAATGTTTTAATACCATTGTCAAATCTGATCAACCTCTTCAACCAAGTATTAGTACACAACACAAGGTGCTTTGACTTTTAAATACATAATTATACATGTATCTTATACAATGTACCTAAATCCTGGAGGGGTGTCAGTGGCCTAGTGGTTAAGGTTGTTGACTTTTAACTACTAATGCCCCTTACTGCTATGGGTTCGAATCTCGACAGGAACTTTAGATTCTTTCATATGAGGAAGCTTTTCTTAGTGGTTCTACTCAAGTGTCTGTTCATGCCTGAAATATTGCATCCCTCATGAAAACATCTGTCTGAATCTGTCTGATTTTTTCTGAGTTTGTCTGAATTCATACTGAATATTTCTGAACGAAAATCTCTTAGAAGGGTATCTGAGGTTTTCCTCCACAAGTGAAGTTGGAAAGTCAATCTGAAACCATTATTGTGTTGGTCACATGCAACAAAAAAAGACTTAATTCTTGACGAAATTTTATTTATCTTTAATTGGGAAACGAGAAATTATTAAGAAAGAAGAAACTTGTATTATATATTGATCATACAGATGACTTGAGAAATGACAATAGACACTTGGCAGGCTGTAAGGCAACTTGTCCCCTGACAGATATTCACATTTGATTACATAAAACCCATTTCCATGCATAGTACGTGATGTGACAAACATTTTGTGAGTTGAAAGGATTTCAACATTTTCTGAGAGAGGTATTAGTGGAGAGTATTTACATGTCATTAGTTTGGTTTGGTTTGAGGAAAAGAAATAAGGCAAATGAGGTGGTGGAATAGGCATTTTGTGCCGTTTGTAATTTACTAGAATTTATTTCTCTTCAATTCTTGATGGGATTTTTTCTTATCTTGTTTTTGTCAGAATGAAGATCAATAAATTACTAAACCTAAAGCTGGATATACATGTACATTGATCAGTAAAGATATCATGAAGAAATATGAAATAAGATCCCATTACTATTGAGCCTTTTAAGTTTCTAAATGAATTAAAACTTTACAATATTTTTAAGCATAAGAACCGTTTTTTTTTACTTTTCATGAAGATTTATCTTATATTATATATATATAATATATTATTTTCCCAAACCTGGACATAATGCAGATATTGGGATAGTCTTTATTTGGCCAAGTGTTAATACATAAAATGAGGATATAAATACATGTACAAATTGCACTTTAAAGGCATGTTATAATTTGCTTTATAACTGTTTGAGATTGTAGTTTCACCTAATCTACTCTGATAAAACATGTAATACATCATGTTTGTCAATAAAGAACTAACTTAAGGAACTTAATTCCTTTCATATATTAATATCATTCCTGTAATAACAAATAAAAGTGATGTCTCAATCTTTGGTTGCCTTATATGCACTGAATTTACCTTTTCCATATTGAGCTTGAATAAAAATTAAATTAACCCTGCAGATTTTGTTTAATAGATTTAATTTTGCCCAAGCCCTATTTTAATTTGGAACAGTCCATACCTAGTTGAAGGGGTTTCAGTATCAGAACACAAAACCTTTGCAGACTGGCTAGTCTCTGCAAAGGCTTATATACAGTTATATATCAATTTTAGACTTCATATAGGATTGTCAATTGATTACCTTTTATGGAATTATAAAACTAAATTGCTGATATTTGTATCCTGCCAAGTTTATTAATTCTACTGCAGTATTCAAACTAGAGCTCCACTATATACAATGTCCTATCTCCTTCCTAGATTTCTATCCAGCTAGTCTACTGAAAGCTGTAGGGCCTTATTCAGGTACCCACTCATGCCTGAAATAATGTGAGCTTTAACCTTTACCATGCTAGAAATCTAAAATGGACAAGTAAAATGGGCTTGTCCGTATTTGTACAATCTAGATAAAACCACTGATGCAATATTACATAGAGGAGTCCGTGGCCGAGCGGTTAAGGTCGTTGACTTCAAACCACTTGCCCCTCACCGCTGTGGGTTCAAATCCCTACAGGGACTTTGGATTCTTTCATGTGAGGAAGCTATCCAGCTAGCTTAGTCGGAACGTCGGTGGTTCTACTTAGGTGCCCGTTCGTGCCTGAAATAATGCATGGAAGGGCACCTGAGGTCTTCCTCGGCACCAGTAAAGCTGGAACGTCGCGATATGACCTATACTATGTCGATGTGACGTAAAACCCAAAACAAACAAAACAAAAACAAAGCAATATTACATGAATCTAGGCACAATTTTAACATACTATCATGGCCTGCTTGCTCATAATATTTGAGCACGTAATTATGGGATCTCTTCTAGGATCGAAGGCAAGAAGATTCAATCCCTTATTAATAACATTTGTGACCCAACATTTGCTCTTGTCTAAGAATGGAATGCTATTCCAAATTATGTTAAGGTCGATGTGGTTGAGAATCATTGCTTTGAATCATAGGAAGAGGTGCACATAATCAGTTTTGAAGAAATTGAAACACATATTAATAGTAAAAAATATCAAGACATTTACAGAAAAATTGACAATTTAAAAAATGCAAATTTCAATTCTGATCCCTGTTGTGTTTATGAAAAAATAAACAGTGGTGTATATCATTGATTATGACAGGAAACTTTGCGTCTTGTTGGCGGATAAAAACCCCATATTTTTACAAGAAAAGCCATAAAAAATTAGTAAAACCCTAATGCATAGTTTCATTTTAGCGTCAGTATATAACTGATAATGATATCCAGTATGCTAGACATAGGAACCATATTGATAATACTGCATGTATATCGATGTGACAGTGATAATTTTACACAAAATATACAATGTGAATGAACATGGGTCAGTATGCATTTGGATATATCAGCTGTTTTAAATGGTTGATAGTATATAGGCTGGCTTTCTAATTTGTCTTCAGTGTTTAATATGAGAAATGATGAGAAAAAATTGTTTGCTGCTGGTTCAAAGCCTGCCAGAGACTATAGATTCTTTCATGTGAGAAATCTTATTATGCAGCCAGTTAATGCTGTACTGATGTGCTTGCTTATGTCTGAAATAATGCAGAGGTCTTCATCCATTAGTTAAATTCTGCCGGCTGTTAGCTCAATAGGGAGAGCTTCACTGGGTTCACTGGTTGGATCCTCAAGGGAGGTGAAATATTTCAGTGGTAATTGATCTTGGACATTATGTCTAAAGGTCGTTTGTCTGTGATTAGTAGTCTGTCACAAGTTGAAGAATTGGTAATTAACTGTAAGCTATCCTGGGAAGCTGAGTGTGCGACATAAATTGCAAAAATATTAAGCAATCATGTAATATAGATATAACTCTTTACAATAGAAAATGTACTGCATTATTTAATCATAATTGTATTTTTGTCTATTTTCAGATTATCAACATTCAAGATATTATTAAAGCCAATTCTTTAGAAGAAATGAAAGATGTGTATCCTTTTACAAATACATGCACAATTTATATTCTTTGTTAAATGATAACACTGTATTAATTGCTCAATCTGACAATTTTTTATTAACGCTGAGTTACATGATGTAATGCTCAATGGTTCTGACAATGTCAGCTTGTTCAAGTTGCAACATTTCACCAACAGCGTTACATTTCACTATTGGAGTTGCTACATTTTATGTAGTACATTTGCATTGAAGTTGCCATATTTTACCACCAGGGTTGCCACATTTCACTGAATCAGAATTGTTACATTTCACTGTCAGTGTTAACCACATTGAACTATGATATTGGATTTACTATATTACCACCAGATTTGTCACTTTTCATTATCACTGAAGCCACAATATTTTACCAGCATAATTACCACATTTCATTACTCCAGAGGCTATCTTTAACCGGCAGAGTTGGCAGATTTTACCATCAGAGTTGCCACATTTCATTATTATTCCAAGGCAACAATATTTCACCATCATATACTAAGTTGCTATATTTCATTATTTTAGAAGCTACATTTCACTATCAACTTTATAGCATTAAACTAGTGGAGTAAGAGTTGCCACATATCAACAATAGAGTTGTCACAGTTTTCACAATTGGTGTTACCAAATTTCATTATTCTGCTGAGAAAATACCTCACAATAAGGAATAATTTCACCAAATTATTAGTGCATAGAATTCCTTTATTTGAAGGTTTGTGTTCAGCTTGACTATTTAAAGAATAAAAAGAGCTATTGTACTTACCAAGGTGTCTGTGATGCTGATGGGTTTAAACGCTTTTCAATTTTCTGTCATTTTTCACAATTTGAATAATTATCCTGGATAAACCCCAAGAGCAAATGATCTAAAATTTTGCACACAAGTTACTTATCAAGACCTACATCAAACTGAGCAATAATCTCGAAAAATTATTTCCAATCTCGTCATGTCAAAAAAGGCAGTCCAGTCCCTTTAATTTAAGGACAACACTTATATAATAATGTTTTAAATGTGAATAATTTTCTATTTTGGGTAATTGAGTGGTTATGGTAAACTGACTGCTCACCAACCTGTTATGATTATTGGTGGTGGGTTGGAATCCTTCCAGTCATGCTGGAAGTTGTCTTATGGAATGAGAAGTCAGTGTGGTTTGAGACCCAACCAAATTAAATGTACAAATGAACAGCTTTGCTGAATAATATTAGTGAGCTGTATTAAAACTGTTTAATGTGTGGAGACAAATGGCAAAAGAAAATTTGCAATAACTGCAAATTTGTTTTGATGAAAGTACAAATTTTCTTTTCTTCGATGATAATTGTAAAAATACAGAAATCAGGAGGAACTGTAAATGTCATTCTGTCAAAGTTATACCATTGTTTTGTTACTTGTGATATTGATACTTATTAGGGCAGTAAAAGGGAAATTGCTGGAGAAATTGACTCCTACCATCAAATAAAGGAATATTTCTAGTTTAATAACCTCCCACTCGTATCATTTGTTAGTGATATGTACTCTATATATAGCAGGCTGTTTCAGAAATCAATGAGTTTATGTAATATACTCTTATATTTTGCAATATGAAAAAGAAAAAAAACACTTTGTTTTCCCTAGAAATTTGTTTTGACTCACTCTATTAATGTTACATTATAGACAGATTTTAATCACACTATGCATGTTTTATTCAGAGCAGCAGAATATCAAGGTCTTATTAGGTTGTCAAGCTTTGTTGGAAGCCAGGCATATTTGTTCATGTGAGGAAGCTATGTAAATAGCTAGGTCCTCAAATCTGTAAGGTGTCTGCCTTAATTGTATCTAAAATAATAAAAGGAAGGAGCATCTCAGGTCAACTTTAACCAGTAAACTGTTGTATGGTCTTTATATAAATATGACTGTAAAACTCATTGCAGTAATAAATCATATTTTGAACATAAAGTAAGATTTACATGTTAAAACTTGCATACATATCATGATGGCATAATGGTCAAACCGCTTGCCCCTCACTGCTGTGGGTTCGAATCCTGACAGGGACTTTGGATTCTTTCATGTGAGGAAGCTATCCAGCTAGCTTACAGAATGTGGGTGGTTCTACTCAGGTGCCCTTTTGTGCCTGAAATAATGCATGGAAGGGCACCTGAGGTATTCTTCCACCTGGCAGTAAAGCTGTTATGTACGTGGCCATATGACCTATACTGTGTCGGTGTGATATAAAACCCAAACAAACAAACATAATTGTCAATGGCAGATAAGTTATGTAACATGTAGACTTAAAGGGACTCAATTAAGGTGTTTTTTTTTTTTTACTAGATGGATCCGGAGATAATTTTTCAAGGTTAATATTTCATTTGATGTAGGTCTACACCAATAACTTGTGGGTAAAAATTCAGATCATTAGTTCACGAATGATTAATCTAATTGTGTAAAAATGACACAAAATTGTAATTCAAAGTTCAAATCGGCTAAGAATAGCACAAAGTACAATTTTTCAATATATTTTTGGGTTTATTGAACCTTTTGGATATCTTTCTGTTTTAGTGTTCCTGATTATCTCTGTATCATACAGTATGAATATAAAATTTTATGTTTTGAGGGTTTTGAACCTCAGTGGAGTTCCTTTAATGCTATAGAATAGTGTCAGATAATACAAGCTTGATCTAAGGATTCTTATGTAATAAAAAACACAATTATTATTACTTAACAAAATAGAGTTGCAATATTGTGCATGTTGCTCAGACAGCATCACAGTTACAAAAACTCTTTAAAGTTCTCTCCATTATTATCATTATGTACATTTTTGAAATCATTGCTGCATTAACTTTGAAAATTATTCTAAAATTTTCCTTTCGTTTAAACTGAAATAGTATAAGTTGATATGTCTGTTTAATGATAATTTACATAATGATATAATTATAATAGCGGCTAGGAGATTTTACTTGCCCTTGAACAGAATACTGTATTATACACAAACTTTGAGACTTTTATTTCCTGATAGCAATGATAAATATATTATAGAAATGAGCTAGAAGATCAGTCTGTAACATCAATTTGTTTTAAGTGTAACATAAGAGACAAGATTTGGAGGAATATTATTCAGACAGAATGTCTGCTAGCTATAGAATAGGATAAATTGAAAGTGCCTGTTGAATGTGTGTCTTCTACAAAATTGTCGTAACTCTATGAAGTCATTGAGTTATTGCAGTTTGTTTACTTTTTATATGCCCGAAAGAATTTCGGACATATTATGTTATACCCCCTGGCGTCCGTCCGTCCGTCTGTCTGTCCGTCCGTCCGTCCGTCTGTCTGTCCGTCCGTTAGCAATTTGGTTTCCGGAGCATAACTTAAGTTCCATTTGGCCCACAATATTCAAACTTCATAGGATGATTGTCCATATTGAGTAGAAGACCTCTATTGATTTTGGGGTCATAAGGTCAAAGGTCAAGGTCACTATGACCTTAAAACTGAAAACGTTAGCAATTTGGTTTCCGGAGCATAACTTAAGTTCCATTTGGCCCACAATATTCAAACTTCATAGGATGATTGTCCATATTGGGTAGAAGACCCCTATTGATTTTGGGGTCATAAGGTCAAAGGTCAAGGTCACTATGACCTTAAAACTGAAAACAGTTTCCGGAGCATAACTTAAGTTCCATTTGGCCCACAGTGTTCAAACATCATAGGATGAGTGTCCATATTTGGTAGAATACCCCTATTGATTTTGGGGTCACAAGGTCAAAGGTCAAGGTCACTATGACCTTAAAACTGAAAACAGTTTCCGGAGCATAACTTAACTTCCATTTGTCCTACAGTGTTCAAACTTCATAGGATGATTGTCCAGATTTGGTAGAAGACCCCTTTAGATTTTGGGGTCAAAGGTCAAGGTCACTATGACCTTAAAACTGAAAACAGTTTCGGGAGCATAACTTAAGTTCCATTTGGCACACAGTGTTCAAACTTCATAGGATGATTGTCGATATTGGGTAGAAGACCCCTATTGATTTTGGGTTCACAAGGTCAAAGGTCAAGGTCACTATTACCTTAGAACTGAAAACAGTTTCCGGAGCATAACTTAAGTTCTATTTGGCCCACAGTGTTCAAACTTCATAGGATTATTGTCCATATTGGGTAGAAAACCCCTATTGATTTTGGGGTCACAAGGTCAAAGGTCAAGGTCACTATTACTTAGAAATTGAAAACAGTTTCTTGAGCATAACTTTAGTTCCATTTAGCCCACAATATTCAAACTTCATAGGATGATTGTCCATATTGGGTAGAAGACCCCTATTGATTTTGGGGTCACAAGGTCAAGGCCACTATTACCTTAAAACTGAAAACAGTTTTCGGAATATAACTTAAGTATCATTTGGCCTACTGTGTTTAAACTTCATAGTATGATTGTCCATATTGGGTTAAAGACCCCTCATGATTTTGGGGTCACAAGGTCAAAGGTCAAGGTCACTTTTACCTTAGAATTGAAAACAGTTTCTGGGACATAACTTAAAAGTTCCATTTGGACCACAATATTGAAACTGTAAAGGAGGATTGTTATTTGAAGGAGGTAATACTTTATTTTAGTCCCATGTCTTACAAATGCTTCATCTTTACTAAAAAAAAAAACCACTTTAGGGCATATAATGCTCCGCCTAGCGGTGCTCTTGTTGGTCAATGTGTTACTTTGAGATCTTTAACTTATTGAGTAGAATGAGTTATTTTTTTGTGGTTATCGAGCGACTATTAAGCTCACCTGACCTAGCTCAGGGTGAGCTTTAAGTACTGTTGAATGTTTGTTGTCCATCGTCCTTCTATATTTGTTGGTTAACACTCTAGTGGTCACATTTTCGCCTCAATCATCATCAAACTTTGTCAGGATGCTTGTCTAGGTAATTGCTCGAATTAGTTCTAACATGGGTCATTTCGGATGAAAAACAGGAGCTGAAAATAGAAAAATCTTGTTAACACTAGTGGCTACTGTTTTGATCCAAATATCCTGGATTTTGGTCTGCAAGTTTGTTTTGATGATTTCTAGGTCATTTCGAATATGGGTCACCTGGGGTCAAAAACTAGGTCAAATATGGAAAAAACCTTGTTAACACTAGTGGTCACATTTTTGACTCAATTGTCAGGATGCATGTCTAAGTAATTGCTCAGATGAGTTTGATGGCTCAGGTGAGCGGTCTAGGGCCATCTTGTTATTTATTGTGTTGCTTTAAGGAGTAGATTATCAAGTTATTTTGTTTTCTAGAGCTACTTTTAGGCCATTGCGCTACTTTGAGGTCATTGAATCATGAGTAGATTATTGAATTATTTTGTTTTCATTGGGGTACTTTTTGGTTATTGCGTTTCTTTTAGGTCATTGAACCATTGAGTAGATTATTGAGTTATTTTGTGGTCATTGAGCTACTTTGAGGTCATTGTGCTAAAGTAATATAGCTAATAGTCATTGAGCAACCTGTGGTCAATAATTTTTAAGTCATTTACTTACTTTGGGGTTGTTATGTCTTGGAACCCTGATTTTTTTCATGTCATATTTGCTGCTGTAAATGAAAAATATAAAAATTTAATGTCTTTGCAAGAAACTGTAGGACTAAAAAATAATGTATTCTGTGTCTCAATTAATATAAATTGGTTCTTTATACTGCTTGGTGCTGTGGAAAATCCAATATAGTTTATTTTTAGACAAAAAAAAACTGTGAAGGAAATACAGTAAAAACCCGCTTTACGACCACCCCGTTTTCGAGACCAACCCGCTAATACGAACGATTTTTCAAAGACCCGATTTTTTTATTCTTTATTTTAATGGTCGCTAACCCCGATTTTGAGACCACCCCATTATTCCGTAATACGACCAGTAAATTCACTCCCATTTCGTTAATTCTGTACATTTGGAAACCCATAAATACGACCGCGGGCACTTTCTCACCTTGATATTGACATGCATGTATATTGCTGAAATCTTTTTGACACGTAGTGTAAACAACAGATGTCCTAGTTTTACGACATTTAACGACATCCAATTTACGGCAGAGGTCAAGGTTACTTTGTATCAAACCCGGAAATGATCAATAATATTGTCGATAAGTTCTTAATTTCACACCTTTAATGTCATAACTGGAGGATTAAAACAACAAAATATTGAATAAGTTTTTTAGAGGTGTTGCTGCTATCAATATCTCTTTCGTTTCATAATTTCAAACAAACATAAACATGATACGATTAGGTTTTTGAAGTTGTTATCGGCGATGAAAACTGTGAAAATAATTAAAGGTTAATTGGTCGATGTGCTTTGTAGTAAAATGGTGATTTAATTGAGTAAGTCATGTCATTCTTTTAACAAGAATGTAAAAATATGTTTGTGTTTAAAGACATTCATAATACATTTTGTACCTCTAAAGAAGTTAAAAAATTTTATAATGTTAAAAAGTAAAAGAAAATAAATGAAAATAAAAAAATAATAGTGTATGCTTAATATATTCTCATTTGAAATAGGTTAGCCCAGAATTAAACATGTGTACAGTACATGGTATCCCTTAATATATTGCCTGGTTTTCTGTTTGACCAAACTCATTAATGAGACCAACCCGCTATTAAGACCAGATTTGTAAAGTCCCTTCATTGGTCTCATTAGCGAGTTTTTACTGTATTTAAATATGGTAACATTACTGGGAAACATGATAGCATTTCTGACTGAAGCCTTGCTACCACAGGTGTGTTATTGCATATGTGTTTTATATGATTTCTACCTTACAAATATAGCTCTGTCATGCAACTAACTATAATCACCATGTTCTGTAACCAAAATAGCAAGCATTTAGAAAAATGAGTCTGCTTCCAAAATAATGTATGATTATTAACAAAAAAATTCTGAATTCAATAATTTGATGATATTCAAGCATATAATTGTCTCCTACAGTTATTTATGGAATTTACATCAATAGGTAAAAACAGGTCAAGGTCAATTTGAGAACAGAAAATTCTAGATTTTTCATTTAAGGAGATGAGTAAAAGATAGACATAGGTAAATGGCTAGGTTGAATTAAGTCATATACAGTAAACTGTTGTTAATTTTTAACCATTATTAACCAGGTTTTCCGAAGGAAAAAACTGGTTATTAGATTGAGGTATGTCGGCGGGCGGGCGGATGGGCGGACGGGCGGGCGTAAACAATTTCTTCTGTGCGCAACTCCTCCTACATTTTTCAACGGATTTGGACCAAACTTTCACAGAAGCTTTGTCATCAAGTGACCTGGCGCATATTGTCAGGGTTTTGTGATTGGATAATATTTGACCTAATTATGGCCCTTTGTTTTTTCCTTATATAGAATATAATTATAGTGAAAAATTTCTTCTGTGCCCAACTGTTCCTACATTTCTCAATGGATTTTGACCGAACTTTCACAGAGGCTTTGTACTCAAGTGCCCTGGCACATATTGTCGGGGTTTTGTGATTGGATAATATTTGACCTAATTATGGCCCTTTGTTTTTTTTCCCAATATAGGATATAATTATAGTGAACAATTTTCTGTGCGCAACTCCTCCTACATTTCTCAACGGAATTAAACCAAACTTTCACAGAGGCTTTGTCATCAAGTGCCTTGGGGCATATTGTCAGGGTTTTGTGATTGTATAATATTTGACCTAATTATGGCCCTTTGTTTTTTTTTCGTATACAGATCATATAGTGAACAATTTTTACCATGCGCAACTTCTCCTACATTTCTCAACAGATTTTAACCAAACTTTCACAGAAGCTTTTGTTATCAAGTGCCCTGGGGCACATTATCGGTGTTTTATGATTGGATAATATTTGACCTAATTATGGCCCTTTGTTTTTTTTCCTTATACAGAATATATAGTGAAAAAATTCTTCTGTGCTGAACTCCTACATTTCTCAACGGATTTTGTTCAAACTTTCACAGTAGCTTTGTCATCCAGTGCCCTGACGCATATTGTCGGGGTTTTGTGATTGAATAATTTTTTATTTAATTATGGCCCTTTGTTTTTTTTCCTTATACAGAATATAATTATAGTGAACACTTCCTCTGCAGTCTTCGAAATAAACGCCAGTCCGAGGCCCGAGGCCACTAAATTTAGCATCGGTCTGGTGATTATTGCAAGGCTGGTGGTCCGACGGGCCAGCAGATTTTTGGCCATGAAAAAATATTATAAGAAAAATTCATCAAAATAATTAAGTAGGGTTCTCTAAAAGATTGATCTTTTTGCCTTTTTTGCAAATGAAATCCATCAATTCTGTCCTAAATGTTCATAACACAGCGAAAGATGTCTGAATTGTATTGAGTAATGGAGGCCGCCATTTTTTTTCTTGGATATTTTCCGTACCGCACCGTACACTTAAGAAATTAAACCATTGTTTATTATTTAGCTATGATTTTGTGATTATTGAGTTAAGTAAATATTTTGTGTTAAAGTGATTTGTTTGAAGCAAAGTGCTTTGTTCATGTTCAATTCTAGTCAATTTTGTCTAAACATTTGGTCCTTTAAATTTTTCAAAGCTGTCAACATATGGCCCAGAATACAAGAAGTATTATGCTTCTTTCAAAATTATCAAGGGAAGCATGATAAAGTGTTTTCGTTTACCCATCAATTTATTACCTATATCTATGTATTTGGTCCGGCTAAAAATCAACAGGTCCAGTAAGATTTGAAATTTTACTGGCCCGAATGGCCTGTGCTTTTAAAAGTTTTTCGTGAAGACTGCCTCTGTGGCAATTCCTCCTACATTATACATGTTTTACATTGCACATAGTTACATTGTTTGTTGCTTGTATTTGTATTTCAAATACAACATATTTATCTACAATGGTGATAATTGAAAACCTGGTTTCATGGCATTGCCATGTTTCTTGTTATTGGTTATAAATGCTTTAAATATAATTATGTTGACATCTTAGTTATAATCTATAACTCCCTAGCAATGCAATTTGCTCCTCCTTTCCCTGTCAAGCTGCTTTAATGTCAACATAACTTTCAACATCATTACAGTCTCAATGATAATAACAACCCAGCAAAATCATTCCAAAAATACCAGCAAAGACCAACATTCTCCATGCATCTACAAATATTATACAAAATTCTTTATAGTACCAAGGATGCATCCTCCAATACATATATATAACAAAGCCAGCTCCTTGCATCCACAAAAAAACCTGTAACTGCAAGAACCAATATGCTAAATGCTTCGGCCAAAATTATACAAGAACAAGACTTAGTGTAACAGTTGGCAAGAATGAATATTCTCCATGATGCACACAAAATAATACAAAAACAAGACTTAGTTCTAGCATAATTATAACAGTATTATGTACACTTTCATCAAAAGTTTCAAATTTCCATCTCACCATTTGTTGTATCTGCAAAACTTGCATGCTCAATGACATGAGAAGAAAAAGGAAAAAGTAAAATATTCATGAAAAAACATTGATACAGTAATAGTGTTCTGTTGCCTTTGTATATTGTATAATTTTTACATTTTCAATTTTGACTATATATTACCACACCTTAACTCGTTATTTAGATATATTGTACAATGTTTGATGGAGACGGACATGTACAAACTGTTGAAGACACAAAAACTTAGTAATGACCATGTTTGCTATTTTCTGTACCAGATTCTTCGAGGGCTCAAATACATTCACTCTGCTAACGTTCTACACAGAGATCTCAAGCCCAGTAATTTACTTCTCAACACGACTTGCGATCTCAAGGTCAGTAACGCTCTTTTTCTCCTAATGGTCAGTTAGTCAAGATATTTAACATTTTCTCAGTGCTAGTTTGTAATATTTAACTCTTTTTTGTAATGTAAGGTTTTATGGGAAGAACGTGACATAGTGGTTAAGGTGTCTGCATCTCAACACAGGTTGTTTGGATGAGAGCCCTTCTCAGACCTCGATCATGTTTTCTCATATGAGACCACCACTGGAAAACTTAAGAGGCATTCAAATAAGCTGTGCATTAACTTTCATCAAGATTAAGCTAAAAATTATTTAATCCTTTGTGTTCTAATAGTGTCTGAACTTACCCATGCCACCAGTGCTGTCCAAAGTTCAGCCAGCACATCTGTGCCATTTGATCAGGTCTGCACTATCGGTTAATAAGTTAGTACATATGTTTTTAGTTTTACCTAAAACTGATGAATGGTTTTGTCCAGATTAAAAGAAACACAAGTCCATTTAAGATATTTAGTCTGGTGAGAGGGTTTTACTAATAAGTATGAAATTTCTATATCAGAATGTTGAAGATTAATACATTGCCAGGGGTTTATTTGTTGTATATCTTAAAAAAGTTCAAAATATTTCATTCCTAGTTAAATTTTTCCTGGTTAAGGTGTTTTTCATTACCAAAGTTGTATTTTGGAAATTGGAAAATTCAAACTGATCTGCACTGTTGATTATAGGTATTTACTGCTATAGTATCAATATCTAAAAATAAAACCCATGTATTTTATAGAAAGAAAGTTATGTAACTTCTGTTTGTAAACATCCAAAGTGCATTAATCAACATAGAAAATAACTTACTTAATGAAATATGTATGATTAAAGATTTATTGCTGTAAAGTGAAAAGTCAATTACATTTCACTGTTGTTGGTAATGAAAAAAAAATCTTTTTATTCTAACAAATGATTATAACGTCTGTTTATGAATCACAATAGTGCACTATCAGGGGAGTTAATCTCTAAAGTGCATAAGCAGGGGAGCTAATCTCTAAAGTGCATAAGCAGGGGAGCTAATCTCTAAAGAGCATAAGCAGGGGAGCTAATCTCTGAAGTGCATTATCAGGGGAGCTAATCTCAATATTAATTATCAGGGGAGTTAGGATGTGAAATAGTTATCATAATAAACAAATTGAAAATATGTGTATTTCTAAATTGTGATTAAGAAAGTCTAGCATGTTATCTTTTTTTGTTATATAAGATCCAATGATAACTTGAATGGAAATTTAGATTCTTTTGAAGATGAGAGGCAAATAGAATTGTGTTTATTTTATCAAATTTGTACTTGCATTAAACCACTACTTAGTTATCAAAGTTGTATTGGCATAAACAAAAGTTGTTTAATGAAACATGAGGTAATATCTAGGTGTGGAATATGAGGAATTTGTGGTTTTAGTCTTCATCTGATAACTTCTTTGTTTTTGAGATAAGCTTGTTGCCAGTTTGAAAGATTTTTTTTATATGAAGGAAGAATTTAATTGTACCAGGTATTTCTATACACTGTTATATAATTTATATTAAGTGTTACATTAGCAATGTTTGTGGTATTGGGAAAACAGAAGCTCTGCAACAGGTTTGAATGCAAGTGCATAATAATTAAATTGCAAGACTGTTTTGAGTTGATATTGCAGGAAGAAGTGATATTTTCATTATAAAATTTTGGTTTCAAAAGTAACAGTTTGTTCCCTTCTTGACAAAGTTCATTTGAAATCATTAGGTTATGAGATAATTTGTCAAGGTATAGAACTGTTCACTAATATAGGGCGAAATTGTGTTTATAAGGAGCCAGATAGCTTAGTTGATAGAGCTGTGAAACATTATTTCTAGGGTCTTGGGTTCAAGAAGTCAATTACATTAGTTTCTGTACCCACAAATTTCAATATAGTGGAATTAGTGGGGCAGTATTTGACCAGTATAGAACTGTTCTCTAATTAGGGGAGAAAATGTGTAAACAGCTGTGGCTCAGTATGCAGAGCCATGGGGTCCTAGAATCTTGTCTTGGTCAGGCTGCAAATTTTTCTCACCCTGTGACAATAATTTGATTGCACCATTGGCACCACTAATTTCTGAGAAGTTATGGTGAATATTCTTAGATATTCAATATTTATTTTTTCACATTTGAATTACAGAATCTTGACAATTTGTAAAGCATTATTATTCAAAGTTTACATACATACAAATTATATAAATTGGGCTCAGTGCTCTTTGTTTGAAATCTTCCATCAAATAACATGTACTTGAAAGTCATGAAAGTAATTTTTAGTGTTTAACAGGTGCAAAATTGACAAATGACAAAAATCATTATTGTTTTAGATTTGTGATTTTGGTTTGGCAAGAGTTGCAGACCCTGATCATGACCACACTGGTTTCCTGACAGAGTATGTAGCGACACGTTGGTACCGGGCACCAGAGATCATGCTGAACTCTAAGGGGTATACAAAGTCAATAGATGTGTGGTCTGTAGGCTGTATTCTAGCTGAGATGCTCTCTAACAGGCCTCTGTTCCCGGGCAAGCATTGTAAGTTATCTTACACCATCTCTGTAGTATTAGATACAAAACAATTGAAAAGTTTGAGGTGATAAACGCTTTATAGAAAAAGTTTGTTTTTTTAAAGTTTTAAGAAAAGCAACTAAATGGAATACATATTATTATATTATTTTATAACTGTTCACACTCGAACGTGGGAATTTTAACCAGGTTTTCCACAAATTTATCAGTTGTTCTTAAAAGTCCTGTATTTGGCCTCCATTTAAGGCCAAAAAAGGTCACTGTTAACTATGGTAATAATTCTATTGTATTGTATTTATGTATTTGTATGTTATTTTACAGATTTAGACCAACTGAACCATATATTAGGTGTGATAGGATCACCTAGTCAGGAAGATCTGAACTGTATAATTAATGAGAAGGCACGTGGTTACATCCAGTCTCTACCATATAAAGGAAAGACAGCATGGTCAAGATTGTTCCCTCAAGTTAAACCTGATGGTAACACATTGTTATTCTGTGTATAATTAATATAAATTTAAACATAATTAGCCTCAGTGTGAGTAACACTACTTTCTTCATTTCAAGACAGCTCGCAACTTAATTAGTTTGAAGATTATATCAAAATTCACTGATATATGATATATGTTATGAAATGTTTTCATAAACTATATAGCTATAATGCAATGGCTATATTGGTAAGGATAATCATAAAGAATATTAATGTAGACAAAATTAAAACAGGATATTAGGAATTATTCTAGGAGTTTACCCTATATTTGGCTCACTGTCACAAGATGTCTAGTATGATATGGAAAAGAGACATAGAGACTGATAATGTATTAATTAAAGCAACCACTGGTTTATATAAGGAATTTTAAGTATGATATTAAAGTTGCATGCATACAGATGAGCCAAAATATTTTGAGAAAATAAACCTTGAGAAAAAAATGTACAAAACTGTTTAAAAAAAAGTATTTACAACTCATTAATTAATTTACATATTATATGCAATAATTGACTGATTTTGCAGTATTTATCACCATGTTTGTTTGACTAACACAGTAAGGGTTATTTTGCATAGTCTGACCTGATTTTGGTAATTTTTGTAGATTTTAAGTGCTGTGTTGTAAGTGTAAATAATTTTTTTGTTGACTTGACAATATTTTACTTGGTAATAAATTTTAAAAATATTCATGAAAATTGGCATGAATCTGGAGGCATGCTGCTTTAAACCCAAGTTGTTGATGAAGAAATACTGATGATGTTATAATGATATCATATTTAAATGTATATTTCATTATTTCAGCTATAGATTTGCTGGATAAAATGTTGACATTCAACCCACATAAGAGAATTACGGTAGAGGAAGCCCTGGCCCACCCGTATCTCAATCAATACTATGACCCGGCTGATGAGGTAAATTATTCTGCCCTTTCTGATAGATATTGCACTGAGTCTTTCTTCTGGAAATGAGAGATTAATGTTTGTTATGTTGTTTGTTGGTCTATTTTATACAGTATCTTTGACACAAGAAATTATATACAAACTTATTAAAGAATTTAAATTTTTAATTACAGTGCATGTTTAGCTTGACTTTTCAAAGAAAAAAAAGTGTAGCTATGGAATGATTGTCATGACTCTCTTGTCAGCATTTAGTTTGAATGCAGGAGTTGTTTCCCTTGTTCTTTAATACATGTAATTATTGTTTTGTAGGACACCCAACAAGATTAATTTCAGTGTAAATTGCTTATTGTAGTGCTTCAATATTTGTACGGTGTCTTTAAAAAATAAAATGACAAGGCATCCTAAGATCATTTACAATTAATGACTGTAAGTGCGAACTTTGCTGGGGATATTGTACTCCAGTATATTTGAAGGCTGTTCTGCTAGGTGATGGGCAACTAGTGGTTCTTCTCAGTTGCTTGATGTGTAGTAAAAAAGCATGGGGCACCTTTTGAGGTTTTTCTCCACCTATTAATTTGCAAAAAAGCTTTCACGTTGTCAGTATAACTTACTAAAAAAAATTTAAAATTAAAACCAAAAAAAACCCCAGAAATCAAGTAAGATGAACTAGTGGTAATGTGTATGTTGTTGAAGAATGTCTCTGTAGTGTATATGAAATAATGGTTTTGAAAAATGATTTTGTATTACAGCCTGTGGCTGAACAGCCATTTACATTTGAGATGGAACTTGATGATTTACCAAAGGAACGTCTGAAGGAAATGATTTATGAAGAAATAGAAGCATTAACGGAGAGAAATAAACAAGGTATGCTATAGCATTTTATAGTCTCCTGTAAAAGATGAAGTATTTAGTTGTATAATTGTGGGTTAATTATTACAAAAAATATAAAGTTAAAGTGAATATCATACATTTAATTAATATTATGTAATTGTGGGATTAATATAAAAATAAAATTTAATATAAAATTAAAGTGAATACCATACATTTAATTGATATTAAGTAGAAATCAAGAGATATGTGAGTGAATAGAGTGCCTTAAATTTTGATTACTAAGCAAGAATGAATAATGAATGAAGAAACAATAAATAATGAATGAAGAAACAATAAATAATGAATGAAGACAATCATGACAATAAAATATGAACCTGTACTATTATCAATGTAAATATGACCAACAGCCATTCATTAATAAAGTATAACTGTAAATTATAGCAGCTATGCATTATCATACAGTTGAATTATTTTGATATATGAAAAGCAAAACATTGAATATAATATATTAAAAAAGCAAAATGTAAAATAAAACATAATAAAAACAGCATACATCCAGATTCATGCTAAGTTTCATGAAAATGTATTAAAAAGTAAAATATTGTATAGTGAAAAAAGAAAGTAATTTACAAATTGCAAACAAAACTTCAATCCACGTAAATTAAAAGAAATATATGTCAAAATATGCAAAAAAATAGCACTTACTGTGATAGTCAAGTGATAAATATTGCAAAATCAGTGTGTAACACATAACATGTAGATTATTACCTAAATCTTGAATCTTTTTTCTTTTCTTTAAGTCTTGGTACTTTTTTTCTCAAGTTTGAAATGATTTGGCTTACCTGGAGGCAAGCAGCTTTAACTCCTTATAATTTAATTTTTTACCGATACAGTCTCCATTGATGGGCATAATGCCACTGATATGATCATTTTATCTCTGACTGTTTTTTTGTTTATTTACAGCTTGCATATCGTAGACGGTGTCTTCATTGTATACCATCACAGCATGTGTAACGCAGTGTACGTCAACATCTCCCATTCTATACATATCTCTATCTCTTAGCCAACCACAGCCAGTGAAAAAATAACGCATATTTTATAGTGCTGAAAACACTTCTCTATACTTGCCTTCAACTGATTTTGGGGAACCAGAGATATGTTGTTGGCATCATTTCATTCAAGATAAAGACATTTCAACAGTTAAATCTGATTAGCAAGAGATCAACAGATCCTATGTTTGTTAGAAAGTTAGACAATTTTGTTTTTGCCCTCGACATTTTATACTTTGTATTATTATGTCATTTATGTGTGCATGTTAAGATGAGGTAAAATGCTATATTTATATAACGATGTTAATGAAAATCCTTGTGCTACAGTATCTAATAGTTTAAAAGGCGACATCTAAGAGTGTCACATTGATATAGATGTGTATGATAGATTGTTCAGCCATACTCTATTAGATAGTGAAGTATCATTACATCGGCACTGTGCTGTGTGAAATACTCTACATTCCATTTCACTGCACTATTACAAAATAAAGAGCACTGTAGCATACTATCCTCCAAAAAGAAGAAAAATGTAATTATTTTTATATGTGTTTGTGTACTAATGAAGTGCAATAATTTTTCCTGTTTTGAAGAACTTTAGGACAAAAAAAAATTGAAATAGGATAACATAATTGATAAGTATGTCAAATGATCATATTCGATATTGAAACATGGGCTTATAATATTGAGATAAAATCACTACTCTAAGGGTAGAAAATTCAAATTTTGCATTATTTATGATTTGCGTTACTTACACATCAAGAATTTATTTCCAGTGTTTATTATTGACAAACTGTCTACTGGTCTTATCAGTCCTTGCCAATGAAATTGTTAATTTTTAGTTTACTTTCTAAATAAAAACTTTTTTTTTTTTGCATAGACAGAAATCCTCTAAATGATTTGAGCCCATGTATTTGATAATTTTTGCACAGGAAAAAATATTATAACATTTGATTTTAGAAAAGATTTCATATCAGAGGCAAAATCTCAGAAAGAAAAATGTTAATAATACTTATCAGATTTCTTGTTTAAAGATAAATGAAATTAATATATACCCTTTGTCTTGTCTATATATCACAGAGATTTAGCGTATTTACTTGCAAATAAGACATATTTTTCCTCCTTCAATTTAGAGCATTGATATGGTACACCTCGCCTTATAAATGAATCTAAAAAATAGGAGAAATGAAAAAAATGCAAATATTTGTGTTTATCTTACGCTTTTTGGCAAGATAGAAAAGTATATCAGAAAGATAAGAAGTTATATTTCACTGCTTGAAACTGAGTGAAGTAATTTTCGTTCCCTGTCCATACATAGAAATATATAGCAAAGTAAAATGTACGCTGGATCAAGATTTTCTTGATTGTCTCTGTAACCATATTTCTTGAAATAAAAATTCTTTTGATAATTTCACTGTCACTTCGGACACTCTTTAAAAAATATTGTTAAAAATCTCACTTCATAGTGAGATATATTTTTCAAATTCACTTCATAACAAACAACTACCATCTATATCATGACGGACTTTGATGATGTACCGTCTTATGGGCAAGTAGATATGATATGTCATAGATTACATCTAGCTTAATGGAATAGAGGCTTGGAGCATTGCACATATAAGATTCACTTTAGTTTACTTGCATTAGAAGGCAATCTGCTCATACACTGTTGTTTATTTTTGTTCATTGATGCTTTCATTGTTTATAAAGCATGATATCTTTGTTAGTTTATATTATTTTTGTTGACTTTATATAGGTATCCATGAGGTACATGGACTATATACATGATATTTGACATTATTTTGTTATACCTAATATTTTGTATACATGCACTTTATACTAACTTACTGATTGACTCATTTTACATGTTTAATTGACTGTTATTAAGTATGTTGATAGCACTATTTTTAATATTTACACAAAATAACCAACTTAACTAGAGCACAATCAATTAAATGATAAATGATTGACAAGTAAGTAAACACGATAATTCTGACATTTCCTGTAAACATATTAGATACATTACAGTGATCACAACACTTAATTTTCTGTGGTCATATAAGATATATTAGTGATCATGATACTGATAAACACGTGGTTATGTAGATATGATCACTATACTAATATTTCAATGATCACAATACTTACATTTAAATGATCACATTGACTATATCATAGTGATCACAATACTTACATTTAAATGATCACTTTGACTATATCATAGTGATCACAATACTTACATTTAAATGATCACTTTGGCTATGTCACAGTGGTAAGAAATATGTACGTTCTTATCATCTCATTGTTTGGATAGGATTGATCACAATTCACTGATCACATTGGTTATGTCATAGTGATCACATTGGTTACAATTTAAGTGATCATTGCTGCAAGCTTGCTGGTCTTAATTTCAATTTCATTACTTCACAGAGATCACATTTGTTGAAAAACAGGCTAAAAGGTAATATATTGTTTGAATTGCCAGCACTTGAAATAATGATGCCATTCCTGTTCTGGTATTTTACCATATTACAAGTGATTGCAGGATAGTGATGTCATAGGTTGCGTCATAGTGACCACAATGTTAGATAACAGTAAGCACATTGTTTACATGACAATTGAATTCATAGGTGGTGACACCACATTTACTTTCCTAAGTTACCACATTCGGTATTGAACATTACAGTTACCACATTGGGTATAGTACATTACACTTACCACAAATGGTAAAATAGATTACAGTTACCATATTAGGTATAGTACATTATAGTTACCACATTGGATGTAATAAATTACAGTTACCACATATGGTAGAATACATTACAGCTACCATATTTGGTAAAGTATATTGTATTCACCACATTTGTTAAAGTACATTACAGTTACCACATAATTATTATCAATATTATTATTATTATACATGTTACTAATATTATACAGTAAATATCATACATTGTATATTTAGGATGCTGAACAAACCTTGATGTAACTGTCATTTTGAAAATATTTTTTATTTGATAATAAATTAGAAAAACATGTTTTTACCCGATGAATAGTGAGGTAAACAAAGGTATAGAGAGAACTTGATGGTTATTTTTTTGTAACCCTGTATAACTAACTATAAGAATGTCACACAAAGGTGATAACAGAATGACATGTGAAGTTATTATCAGTGTGCTATAATTAGCATGATAATGTTATTGTTAGAGATGTCTTGTAAATGTTTACTTATTTTAATATTATAAATACTCTCATCTTAACCTTTAACTTGTTGGAATTAAAAATGATTCACCTTTGTCACTAGTATAGAGCCAGGCTATCTGGCACATCCATGCAGTCTGGCCAGGCTCTATACTGTTGGTAGCTTAAGATTTAAACCTGGGCGAGTCCATTACACAAATTCAGCAGGTTAAGTGTTCAGTTACCAAACTTGAGCATGCCAAGATTTGTTATAGTTAAGCATTTAACTTTTTTTGTAGATTTTTAAATGATTTTTTTAATGTTTTGTACCATTTTTTTTCTCTAATTTAAAGATATCTACAGTGTATTGATGACGGGTCTCAATGCTGTTTTTATTTTTATTGATTTCCTTCTTCTAACTAAGCAGAAACTTTGGTATTAAAAATTGGTTGCCAAATTTTAGTGTTGACCTTTGACCTTACAATCAGCAGCTCAGTGATTTATTACTGTGTGCTTTATAGATCACTTTTCATATTGGGTGCCAAGGACTTGTTTGATGAAAGACCAAGTTTCATTTCTTTGTTTTCTTTCTATTTGCTGATGTTTATAAAACTATGTAATTAATATTAATTTTTTGGTACTAACATTGAATTCAACAAATAAAATGAACAAATTATATAAATCAGTATCAAATAAATGTCTTTGATAAAAATAAAATGATTGGAATATTTTTTTTCTTTTTAGCATAAACTTTTTGTACAGTTCTTATTTAGCAAATGTCATTTCACCTTTTGCTCTCAATGTTCAAAAGTTTTTCACATTTGTGAATACTTCAATTCTCCAGAATTTAATACTTACCAGGATAACTCCTTTTAAATTGTTATTATTTACAACTTCTGGTAGTTGGCATATTAACCCTTTCTTACTCCAGTGATTAACTTGGTCTTTCACTAAATAAGGTTTTTGCTAGCTTTGTTGCCTTAATTTATTGATCTCTTAAGTAATGACCTTCACCTCCTAATATTGACCTCATTTTTTATGCTCTCCAACATTTCTTGGTGTAGCATTTAGTTGCCAGCTCGTTCTTCCTTTTTGTCACAAGTCACAATTATATACCGTTTCTCATAACACTGTCATGAATTGACTAATTTCTTACATATTTGCTGTGTTTGTACCTTCCTTGAATTTCTACCCTTGAAATAGGGGACCAGTTCAAGGTGAAGGTCAATGAAGCTAGAAATAGATTTTTCTTCTACCCCTCATAGTAGGGCCATGTTTTAAACTTTGTCATAGCAACATTTGGGAACATCAGTCAGTGTTAATGATGTTCTTGTACTGGAATATCATTCTGCAAAAAGAAAAACAACATTGTTTTTATTGACTAAACTTTGTGTTTGTAACAATAGGGCATGATGATTTGTTTCATAGTTACTTTGAAAAGCATTAACTGAAGTAAGTGCTGGAATCATGAGAAAAAGTGCTGACTACATCGATTATCTGTTATCACCATGTTTCATTTAATTGTTACTTAATTGCATGTTTTCATTTAGATTATTCATGTATCAATTTATGTTTCACTGTTCCAAAATATATTAATGAAATTGAAGTAAAAATAGGGAAATTTTAGTAAATTGGTAAGATCTCCATTTAATCATTATGTTAGTGTGTTAATTTTTCCCCCTCAGCATTAAGTCTAAAAGCTTCATGATGATTCATGATTTAACCAAGGCCTAAAATTTCATATACATATAATCATACATTTGTTTAATCATGGAAATGAAGGAGAAAATCCATCATGCATGTTGGATAAGCATACCATGGACTTTTGTTCTTTATGATATACAAGTCAAGTGTGCTTAAAATGAGGCGTTCGAAAAACCACATCACCAGATGGTCCAGACAGCTGCAATGCGCAGTCTGATCAGGATCAGCTGTCGCTTTAGCTACAAAGGTTGGGAAGCGACAGATGGATCCTGATCGACTCAGAGCCAGGCTGGTCTGGTCCCTCTGTGCAAACGAACTGTTTTTCGTGAGCGTCAATCCATAGTGTATGTTTATTGCTTGTCATTTGTAGAAAGAGCTATTTTTACAGAAGCTTTACAAAATTTGTAGCTATATGGTGACATTATGATGTGATTGCTTGTTGATTCTATATACCTTGTTCATCTTTCACATGTCATTACCCCACCTCATTCATTGCCCCGCCCACTTCTATATTGTTAACATAGTATAAGCATTTTTCTCGACACCTGAATATCTGGTAGATTCTGAAGTTAGTGGTGAAGTTGGTTGCATTTATATCAGTTTTATAGTACTGTTTACCCCTCATTGAAGTTACATTTTCAATGCTGAATTTATTTTTAAGCTGTCTACAAATTACTGACGTGGGTATTCATGACTTTGTACTTAGTACAAAGCTTCATGTCTCTTGTTCAGTTTTTTGTAGGGACCGATCAGTTTGTAAGATATCAATGAAACTATGTATATAAGGTACAACATGATACTTGAGGTTTTTGACTACTAATTTACCTAAGATATATCAACGTATTCTATTTAATGAACTAAGACTCAGCATGGTATCAGAAATTTAGTGAAAATGTTTTAAAAAGAAGCAAAATATATAGGGCAGGTTCAATGGCAAGAAAGATAAGTTCAGTTTGAGAATGAATCTTTAATGTGATTGTTGAGAATCTATTAACATAGTGTTCAATCATTGTTTATTTAATGTTTTTCTCTATTATAACTTGCTTAAAAAAGTTTATTAATTGTTTTTTTATGTATATACATACAAGATACGGTGTTACATTTGCTTTTTTTTCATATGTGTATTTTCTATTATTACGAAACTTTGCTGTAGTGATATTGTGTAGACCATATCTAGTTGCTTTATATTGCTGCTTTTGTATAGTGTGATTAACATATCTAATTTTCTTTTCCCCGGATTATTAAGGTGATATGGGGAACTTCACGGTGGAACTTTGAGTCACTTGCCACTCAGTTCTGTAGGTCCCCATCAGGGGCTATAGATTTATTTTACCTACCTAGCTTACAGATGTGGATGGTTCAACAAGGATGCCTGCTCGTGCCTGAATTATTTCACAGACCTGGCAACCGAGGTTTTCCTCTACCAGTAAAGCTAGAAAGTTGTCATATTACTTTTGTAGTGTTAGTGTGGCTTATAACACAGTCATATACAAAATATCTGTCATTAAATATTGGAAATTGACTTTTTTGTCATTGAAAGTGTATTTTTAATATAAATTTTATGTCTGTTTAATATGAATAACTATGAGAAATACTTTGAGAGAAATGAATCGTCGTGTCTCTTGATTTCCAACTAAATACTAGTTTCGGGAAGTGATATGATGTTTTATAAAAGCTACGGTTTAATTAAATTTTATTTTGACATTTGAAATACTCATAAGAATATAAAATTAATGGAATCAAATGACAGTGATGTATTCTGATAGAATTCTATCTCAAGTTTATCAAGTTTATATCTATTTTGTTTACATTATATTGATAACTCATTGATTTTAAATTTTAAGCATACATGACTGTATATGACTTTCTATTCTTCAATAATCTTTGTATTTTCCAGGGGATTATTTTCCAGACATTGTTTTTTTTGGTAAATAAATCTTGTTGTACATGTTTGTGATCAAATAAACCATTCATTTAATGCTGGAATATTCTTTTCTGGGAACATTTATGTTTAATTTGCTGTAATAATATTCATTTATTTACTTAATATTTTTGGTGAAAAGAAATAGAATATAGTAGAAGTTCAGTACTAATACTTTTTAATCCTGTAAAATGAACGGAAGAAATAAACACACAAGTGATGTTTTAATTCTAATATGAACATGTTTTATTGTGTTTAAAGCATTCTGGACTTTAACCATTCCTTAATTAACTACACCAGTGATCTGTTCCTTCCTTTATTTTCCTATCTCTATACATATATCCACATTCTCTAAATTTTTCTATGTTTACCTATCATTGATTGTACATGTAGTTTAGAAAATACTTGCTTAAGAAACATTTAGAAAACTAACATTTTAATTTTTTAGTCAACATATATATACGTGTAATACTATGTTGGCATGGACATTGGATACTCAGAAAATTGTTCTCTTTAAAAAAATAGGATAATTTGCCAACATTTTATAGCATAAAAAAGTATTCAAGTGTTCAATTTGTTTGAGAATAGAAAAGGAAAGCAAAAAGTTTGAAATTGAGTTGTCCGGATTTAAGAGACATTTTTATATTACTACAGAATTATTCACCCATATTTTGTCACATCTTTATTTTTGTTAAAACAAGTATCTTTAACATGATATGCTGTATAAATATTTTAGTTGTAGTGTTAGACAATAACTGCAACAGGGTTTTTTTTCCTAAGGAAAAACCAAACATTTCCTTATACAATGGTAAACATTTTGTAGGTATTTTTTCTCTCTAAAATTGATGTTACGTAACTATAAATTTACATATATCCACTTGGTTTCTCTACTCATGACAGGTCATATTTTGGTGTATGTTTTTGAAAAAGTTAAAATGAATGTGTATTGTTTATTTAATACTGTTCATTGGATGCTGAAAGCAACAAGAAGTGCTAGTTTTCTTTTGTTTAATTTATACATATATACATGTATTCAAGTATACTATTTGTGTGCAGAGCACATTATATTCCTCCTCCATGTTAAATCAGTATATTATATTATTGACGTGATTTGTATCTGTTTTAATAAACTTTATCAACAAAATTATTGTTAGGAAAGACATAATTGATGTGTACAGAAAAAGTTGAATCACCCCAGTTAGACCAATTATAACTGTATTATAATAATGATCTTTTGATACTGATCATTTCCACTTTAATAAACTGTAACATTTAACTGCATTTAGGGGATTTTATAGGCCCTAATGATATGTATGTGAAACGCTATACACTGGTATAGGTAGTTTCTCAAATAATGATGCTAAAATAGAAACAACATTCATGCATGACAAAATTTCACTTAAAACATGAATTATGAAAAATGTCATAAAGGAGATTAGATTGGCTGTGGAATTATATGATGATATTTACTGATTCATTAGGGTACATAATATTTAAGTATGAGAACAATAATAAAAGGCATTGTACCTTTACAGATTGAATCTTAGTTAATAGTGAACAGAGAATAGGGCTGTTTTGATTGTACATGCTCAAGAGTTAGTTCCCTTTAACAAGTCATTGTTTTCTCTTGCTTTAATAGTTGAAACATCTACTTTTCATGCTTTAGTCGTGGTATGTGGGACATTAACAGTTTAAAAGTTAACTAATGAATAATAAAACGAACTTCTTGGGGTATTAGTTGTCTGCTTTACTTTGGGTGTTTTTTCCCTGCGTTGATTGTATATATTTAACAGTGTTGTGAACGTACTTTCAACTTGTTAATTTGATATTTGTACAATTTCTTTTTTTTAAACTAAATAATATTCCAATGAATTTTGAAAACTAAATGTGTCATAGACTCTTGAGCTAAAACTGGCATAGAATATACACTGTATTTAAGCTTATAGATCAATTTAATGGTCATATTGGGATGTTATGATAGTAAAAGTATATTAAAATGTTTAAATCACAAACTATATTCTACTATTGATGATACAACTTGTTATAAGAATCTGTAAGATCTTTAATGAAGGTTTATTTCCATTGGCTGCAATGTTGTTCTTGATGTAAGTGTAATAATTGTGCAGTATTGCCAAGCCTTCTATCTTCTCTTAACATTATTGTATAAATGTTTTATAACATATAAATGTCTTTGTGTTATTTTTACTCCCCTGAGTCTATTTCCAGTGCTCCTGGAACACAACCCATACCCATGCAATTCCTATAACATTTGAAAGACAAAATAAGTTTACATTTTACCATAATTCCTTCAGATTTTATAATTTACTTTGCATGAACAATAAATAACTCACTACTCTCAAGGGAATTTATGTAAAATTTTATATCAATAGGAATTAACCAGTAACAGTCAATTTATAGAAGAATGGGGCAGTCTTTATATTTTTAGCAGATTTATAGTTTATCATGAAGATTTTCCAACATCAACTATTGGTCAATCACCATTATTTCAGTCAATCTTTTGAAATATTTAGACTTGACAATGAAAAATGAGCATAATGTCTGTAATTTTGGTATCCCATTGTGTGCATAAAATTATGACTTCTGTGGAAATTCCAACCAGGTTGTTTTTCATAGTCGACCATCAAATAGCAAAACAAAAAATCAAGGTTTCTGTGTGATTCAGGTACAGATTATCAATTTTCTTGGAAACGTCTGCAAATAATTTATTGAATAATGTAAGCCTTTTAAATAACTTCAGATCCACAAAAATAAAATTCCTGATCTCCATAAGTCATTGAACAAACCAAGCCCAATATTATTTGATTTACTTGGACAGATAAAATCCCCTGACATGTTCAAGTAGTCCTATATATGATGTTGCTTTGAGATATTTTTGCTTCTAGGCTTGCCTAACTTAGACAAGCTGATACAGCTAGTATTTTGGACTTGTGATCAAGGTGAGT